CTTTATCGTTAAATCACGCGACACGATCGTTTACGATCTCGCAAATACAATGTGGACTTATGTACTCTGGATATTACGAATATAAGCATGAATCTTGTTCAAAGATAAAAGCAAATAAAATATTCGTGTAAGTGAGTACGAAAAAGAGATGAAGAGAGAGAGAGAGGTGCGGCTACTTTCTAAACTGGTCTTGATCGGAATCACGCGTATGGAGGTTGTATTCTCATTCGTGACCGTGACTTCCTCAATATGCAAGGTCGACCTCAACGAAATAACCTTCAGGAAATAAGTTTTCCTTTTGATTCCGAAAAAGGAGGAATCTCTCTTCCGATTTGAATGATTTGTCTTGAGTTTCTAATCTAGAGAGTAAGAAAAAAATATATATAGATAGGAGTTGCCTATAAACTTTGTACATTCCGGTATTATATATTTACCTGTATATTTATAATACAACGGTGAATAAATTGTAACACCCAAAGGTACTCCATATGGCTCCCGAGACAATATATTGACTTTTATAACTATTTTTCCAAAAACTTTTTTTATTACTAACATAAAGTAGAATTATAACATAGAAATATTAATATGTAGTAAAACAATTTTCTTAATTAACGTCTGCCGAATACAATGTAACCAAATTCATTCCAAGTTACCGTATATATTTTACTTTTATAAATGAAATCATTAACATTAGATTAACTTTAACTCAAGTTTTCAGTGTTGTATTTTTGTACATTATTTATAAGTATAATATAAAAATAAGATTTTCTATGTCTCTAGAGCATTCAATAATGTATTTAGCTCGTATATTAGTATTATTGGAAAAGTTTCTTCATCCCTGACATAATACTTGAGAAATTTTATTACTGATATATAGCAAAACGAAACAGATTCTTCCTTTCTCCATCTCTCTCTCTCTTTCTCAGAATCTTTCATTACCAATGCATGTAAATGTAACCCGCGTTGAGTGGACGAGGAGCAAGTATCGAAGGAGTTCTCGTATTGGTGACTTGGCAATGTCTACGTTTGATCTCACTAGGCCATGGCCACCCGGTACAACACGAGGAGAACCACCAGAGACGAAAATATTTTATTAGTTCGAAATGAACGAGCATCCTGCTGCCCTTTTCCATTTTCTCTAACGACACCAAAGTAGTTGGTATACGTAGGATACGTTGAAACAAACATTTAATCATTTCCGGTTTCGTTCTTTCCTTCCGTTTTCTCTTCCACCCCCGTTGCTTACGCATGTTTTCTATCATTAGATTCGTGAAGTAAACTTAAATCGTTTTATTTTTATCACATCATCTCATTCCTCTCGTTTTATCTTATTACCCGCGTAGTTCCCTTTAAAACAAAAAGGTTTGCGCTCTCACGTGCATAATACTTTCCATATTTCAAACTAAGAAGGGGGAGAGAATAATTAAAAATTCTAAAGGTACCTTTACCGTCACCGTCAATTACAGGGTTAACCTAGGTTAGTACTTCTTTTCTCCAAAAGTTTGCTTTCTTTTCTATTGTAAAAAAAAAAAAACTGAAAAAAAAAAACGAAAAGAACGCTCGCGCTATTTATATTTTTTGTTTTTTATTTTTACGATTATTACGACGACAACAACAACAACAAAAAATCAAGAATAGAAAGGAAAGGAAGAAAAATGCATGCGTGTGGTAAAAATGAAGAAGGAAAGATTTTATACAAAAAGGTGGTCTACGGGATGGGGGGGGGGAAGGGTAGTATTCTTTACGAATTCTAAGCTTTCATAAATCTAGCCTTGATTCAACGGCATGAATCGTCGTAGGATGTTCGAGTAGTCGTGTAATAAATGATGCATGAAGAAAAGGAACGATACGGGATGTAGGAAGAAGGCTCATTTCGAGTAGCATCGATACTTTGAAGAAAAAGATTGAACAACCGAAAGGAGGCTTCTTGAGGGTCTAAGAAGAACGAGAGAATGAAATATTTCCATAGAACATCTTAGCCCTGTATATCTAAGTACCCGTATAAAGTATAATACATATATATATATATATATATTACAATACCCGCTATATAGATAGATACGATATATATATTATATTCATTGAATCAATATTCTTCCTATCTTTTTTCTAACACATTGTCAAGATATTAAGTTGACCGTTATTGAAGTACTTACTTGCTTAGGTAAAAAAGACTAACGTAAGAGGAAGTTGAAAGAAACGAACGAAATAAAGGAGGGAGAGGGAGGGAGAGGGAGAGGGAGAGAGGGAAAGAGGAGGTCACATTTGCTTCCCCGAAGGTGACGTATACGTTGAGAGGAACGTAGGTCAATTCGTTTCTTCCGGAGACAGAGTCGATTGTTCCATTGACACGATACTATTTTTTCTAATGGTTCCAAGTCGCGAAAAATTAGTTTGGCTCTCGTTGTAATCCCCTTGAATTCTTTTCTTCCTATTATCGGTTTCGTTTTTTCTTTTTTTTTTTTTTTGTCAGTTCTGCCTTTTTACAATACACGGTTGATAGTGTAATTAACTCAAACAAACGTGTCGACGTATGTATTATAGTATGAACATACAAATTGCGGATGACACCGCGCAAATAGACACGTTAGAATGAAACACCGAAAGAAAAAGTAGGAAGATGAATTTAACCGAGGACGGGGGCGCAATTAAGATGACTTAATTAATTAATTCGTCTCTATTCTTGCGTTAATTCTTAGCGACCCTGACCCCACGCCTACTACGACCAAGAAGAGGACGCTTGTACGTATTTTTTCTTTTTTTTCTTCTTCTTTTACATCTTCACACTTGCCCCCTTTTTTTATTCCTTCGTCTTTTACTTTTTTTCTTCTTCCTTTTCGTCTCGCACCTCATTCGTCCTTCCGCCTTTTCTCTCTCTCTCTGTCGTTCCTTTTCAATTTTATGTTTTTACCTATCGTGAAATATCTGCCCTCTCTCTTTCTTTCTTTCTTTCTGTCTATCCATCTTTGAATCTTTTTAAGTAAGGATAAAATGACGTGGTTTTATTTGGCTTTGATAAAAAGTAAACCAAAGGAAAGATTTGTGCGGTGTCGCGTTAATGAATACAACACGATACGTTTAATCGTCGACTGCGTGTTATAACGACTCGATCAATTATTCTCAAGTAGCGTAGATCGAGAGTAGAACGTATTTATGGTATTGTATGTATGTGTAGTAGATATACAGATAGCAAAGCATCGTGCACAATATGTGTGTCTTTTAGAAGATCATCGATTACAAGAAATCTGTATCTGAAATCAGGCAGATGTTTTTTCAGTTTAAAGATTAATATAATCAACTAAAAATCTCGTCAGATATCAAATTTATCTAGGGTATATATATGATTTTAGTAAATTTTTCGCGATAAATCGAGGCACACGAAACTACCGGCAACTATTTTCAGTTGGATGCATTAAACAACTGACATCTGGTCTTCTTAGAGATCAAGGGTCACTTTTATAATATGTCGAATCGCTTGGCACTAATATATCTTTTGCTTCCTGGTAGGATAAAAATAGTTATCAACACATCTATAAGAATTTCCACAAAAACACCCACGTAACGTGTTGGTTATTTTATATTTCCCAAGTGCTTATATTTTGATCTACAACCGCGAGGATAGGAGAATCCTACATTTTCGCGATAGATATTCGGTGAAAATCATAAATATCATACACGAATTCCTTTAATACTCTTTCACGTTAATAGCAAATAACGTAAATTCTTAAATTATTTTCCCTCTATCGTTAACAAAATTTTATTACACCAAGTATCTAAACGTGAATAGGTTAAACGTCACGACGGCAAAACAAAATTCTCGTTCGCAGATGTGCTTATAATATCATAAAGAGTTTCGTTAGTTCTGACTACGGAAATATACGAGTATCATCAACCCATTCGAATAATAAAAGTTTCAGTTTCATCTGTTATGAGGCCATAGGAAAAGCCTCCTCCTCCTCCTCTTCCTCCTTCTATTCTCAAGCAAGAGTACACCTTGATGTTCGATACCGTAGATACTCGCGTACTTAGGCAAGTATGAGGCTGGGATCGTTCGCACTGTCGGTAATTAGCCAAGATTCCGAATGGAAACGCTGAGCAATTTCAACCAATTAGAAGGACAAACGTGCATCGGCCCAGGTTTATACTGTTTCATGCATTATGGAATGGCATTGCATCGGCCGACACGAAGCTAATTCCGGTCGTTTGATAATACGAGCAGTGCTTTCCCAAAGAACGATACGAATTCGAGCATACACTCCGAAATGTCTCTAATAAATAATACCAGCTTTCTATCTATGCATGTATGCGTTTATCCGTGTAAATACCTGTGTTAGGAAAAGGGACTATTCTCATAGAGAGGATCGTTGCTTACTATTACTGGTTTTCAAGGGAATAAAATTTCTCTTCATCTTTCTACCTGAACTAAATTTAGTTTCCCCAATGGAAACTAGAAACCGGAATTTTTCATCGACAAGAATGCATGATGCATAACAGCTAGACGAATTCAACTTTCGAACAAATAAATATAGAAATTTAGTGTGATCAAAGTTAAAACTTTAATTGACTTGTCCTGCGTATTCGTAAATTAAATTGATTATAAAGCACACGTCAGAGGAACAATTTCAAAAGGATTCTACATATTACGCGCGTTTCCATTGTGCAATTTCGTACTTACATACCTACGTATTAAAAAGTCATCGACGTATTATGCAACATGAAAACGATTGGAAAGAAAGAAAAAAAAAGCAGAGGATTACAAGGATGAGAAATCTATTTACGAATAAGATTTTGCTTCGTCAATGATATTTCGCATTTAAACATGAAAGTATCCGGGATTACGTTAATCGATTCTATGCTTTTTTTTTTCAAGGATTCTCGAAGAAGAAGAAGAAGAAGATGATATATACATTTATACATATATAAATATCTGTCGAAAATGTGATGAAAAATTGTTATATGTATAAAATCGATCGATAGTTAAATAAAATAATAGGTCTCACCGGAAACTGGAGCAAGGATGGATGACCCAGTGACCCGCCGCCTTTTGCCTGATCCTTTCCTTCATAAGTGCCTTCTTGCTGCCGAAGAGTTTCATCGCAAGCTTGTTGTCCGTCGGCTGAAAGAGAGCTTGAAGTTGATTCTTAAGGAAGCTCTGTTTAACCTCCTGGCCCGGGAGGCCCGGGCCCGGTTCCTCTTTCGGCGTCCCATAGAGGGACACATCGTCCACTCCGAAATGGACTTTTCCGCTCCCTTTGTAATTCATTTCGTTGCCTGCGAACCAATGAACAAACAAAAATATAATAAATAGATTTTTCTTCAAAAAAAAATGAAATATATTTTCTAGAAATAATTAACCAACTTACAAGGAGAAATTAATGTATCATTTTCGCGCGAAATAAATTTGAATTCGTAGGACTTGCTTTTACCGTTATATAATAACGGGGCCCTTTGTCCCTCTAAAACGAAACGCGGATTATCGACGAAATTTGAAGAATCTTCCATCATCTTTTATCTCTCTCTCTCTTTCTTTCTCTTTGTGTTCTTGCTATTTAAACGTACGCGTGTCGAACGAGAAGACTCGAGTAAACTGAGAATCGAAGACGTACCGAAACTCGACTGAGGAAGGCAAAGGGGACGGTAACGAACAAGAGGAGGAACGTGGCAAACGAGAAAACGAGAGAAAGAGAGAAAAAAGAAAGAGGGAGAGAGAGTGAGAGAAAGAGAGAGAGAGAGAGAGAAGCATAATCGCTGACCGGTTTCTATCGGGAACTATGCTCTCTCGCCTTCTACTTATTTATTTTGCACGTCAACAAACTCTCATGCAAATCTTAAGTTAGGGATATATTATGTCTTTTTCTTCTCCCTTGCGTGATATTCGTGATCGAAGAAAATGTTCACGATCGGATATACATAGATTAGTTCGCGTGACGTAGCGATGATCTTCGTTTGACGACGAATGTCCGACACCGAATGAAAGAATAATATACTCATATGTATACTTATATTTTACGTATGTAGCTCGAAACATATATTACACGTATATTTTATGTAGTATACTTTAATATACGTATGTATAATAAATGTATGTGTATGTTCCGGAACCGGCTTCAAACGTGGTGTGGCATCGTTCGCATGCAATCGTATCCTCATTCCATTTGGAACTTTTATCGTTATGCTACGGTGCTCCTCCCCCTCTTTTTCTCTCATGAGATACTTTGGAAACGATTCGTTAACTTTGCATTTAAATATGTATATGTATATATATGTATACCATAATTCTTGTTGAAGAAACGTAAGATAAATTTTCAATATATTTATTTAACGGATATAAATTATCCAATTGGCTTTTTTTTTTTTTACTGTCAACATATCTTCTTTAATATCATTCTGATCGAACAATTATTCACGGATTTGCGTATTAATCATACTTCGATTTATGTAAATAAGATAAATATATTACTTCTACGTTCGTCGTTTCGAGCATTGCGGAATCGAAGTTATGGAAATAGGAAAAGAGGAGAGAGAGAAAGAGAGAGAGAGAGAGAGAAAGAGGAAAATAATAAGGAAAATTTTAATATGCTCTTCTAATCATTTTACGATTTCATTAGGCGATATATATTACGATACGAAGAGCAATACAATAATAATATATACAATATCAATAAATATTCAACTGCGCCGATAGGTTCTTTATATTTTACGAGTTGATAATAGGCTCATTATGCACGTTTGCCGAACGACCGATTTAAACTTTCATGCTTGCTCGAGCACGTCGATAATAGATATATACCTACTCTACTATACTTCACTCTATTCTGCTCTGCTCTACCCTAATACGGTATGAATAATACTCATACAAGGATTGAACAAACAAAAATGAAAAAAAAAAAGAAAAAAAACCGTGAAAACATATTATAAAAATTATTATAATGGAATAATTTAATAATAATAAAAAACTATGAATCACCTGTATCAGCTAAGAAATCGGTGATGAGCAGCGCCTCGTCGTCTAAAGCGGTGACGAGACTATCTGTACAAGTGTTGGTATTCTCGATGCTAATTTTAATGCTGTCATCTTTGTTGAGTCTTGGATGATTGTTTGCGGCGGGGTTGTTACCGGCGTGGCAGTTGTTGTTGTTATTGTGGTTGTTGTTGTTGTTGTTGTTGTTATTATTATTATTGTTGTTGTTGTTGTTGTTGTTATTATTATTATTATTGTTGTTGTTGTTGGCGCTTTGGCATCCGAGATGGTGATGAGGCGAACGTACAGATTCTGTGCTGCTGGTGTGTAAACTGATCCCGGTGGTAGCTCTTCCATTTACCAATCGTAGACTCGGTGCACGTCGACCACCGACACTTCCACCGCCACCACCACCACCTCCTCCTCCTCCTCCTCCGCCTCCTCCTCCTCCTCCTCCACCTCCTCCTCCTCCTCCTCCTCCTTTCTCCTTTTCTCCACGGTTACTACGACCAGAGAAGGCCAGCGTGANTCCTCCGCCTCCTCCTCCTCCTCCTCCACCACCACCTCCTCCACCCCCTCCGCCACCACCGGTAGTGCTACTCACAGAACGGCCACCGACTCCACCCCCACCACCGCCACCACCTTCGCCCTCCCTGTAACGCATAATCAATGACCATGTAAATAATTAATCGATTCTAGTCTAATTACTCAACCGGGAAGAACATCGGTAAAGGAAAAATATCTTTTAAATATTAATTAATCGTTGAAGTTATAACGACGCATACTTTATAAACGATCAGTAAATATTTCCACGATCTTATTGAGAATGATATTTTTTAACGACGACCAAAACGTACAAATAATTGTTTTCTTTTTTATTTTTTCTGTGCCCCCCACCCCACACACAGCAAATATGCTCGTTCATTAAATCAACTTGACCTAGTGTAATTGTCAAATTTTCCAAGTACCTTTTGTGCTTCCGCTTTTCTTTTATTGTGTATTTTTGTTTTTCCCTATATATATATATATATACGTTTTCCAGTACTCTTTACATTTCCTACACGACCTACGCATTTGCATAATGATAATACATCCGTATGAATGAGACACTGCCCCTCTCTTCGTAGCACGTTAGATATTTCTTTAGATTCGTTTGACACGAACGAGAGACAGTTTTGATAGAAAAGGATAGAAGGAAAGAAGAAAGAAAAGAAAAGAAAAATGTAAAGAAAAATGAAAAGGGGAGAAAAATACGCAACAACAAGAAAAACGGGGATGGAAAAGAAGAATGAAAAAGAAGATGTTAAAAGAAAAAGAGAAAAAGACAAAAAAGTAGGAGATACGTGTGTATGTGTGTGTGTGTGTGTGTCTATGTGAGAGAGAGAAAAAGAAATAGAAAATTGGTGGCAGCTTCTTCGGAAACACTCTGCCACTTCATGACGTGCGGAATAAAAAGTCGCGTGTGGGAGTAGGACACTAAGAAGAAGACAGACAGATACACATATTTTTCTATATAAGTGAACATGTGCATGCACAGACGACAGGATATAATATACATTTAAGTGGCTCGATGATATACAGTTGGTAGAACGTGTCATCGTGAAAATAAGGGCTCAATTCATGTTGACTCTCTCTCTCTCACTCTCTCTCCCTCGAATCAAAGTGAAATATAATACATCAAAGGGTGACCACTGAAACGAATTTCTAACGAATAAACAATTTTCAGGAAACCCTAATATATAAACGAAAATTTAACGCGTTCTCTATTCGTTTTTACACACGTAGAGTATCATTAAAATTAGGTAAAAGGGGATTAAAAAAAGGATCGATGCAAGATACGTAAATACTCAGTAGTCATGTGTATCTATCTATCCAATTATTACTGTTCGCACACAAACACGCAAAAATACATATCGAATTATTGTATATAAATGAAAATAGTGTGTATCCAAACGTAGATACATATGCAATGTGTGCATGTAAGTACAAGGAATAACCTCTAGCCGGTACTAGAATCTATTTTAAGAAGCTCCCCCCCTACCACCCCCTTCCCCCTACCACCCGGTGGGTGACGCGCGCTCGTCCAGAAGCAGAAAGCATATCCGTGAGTCTTTCCTCGAGTGGCTTAGCCCTCGAAAAACGACGAACGAGCGAGCGAGCTAGGAAAAAAGGTGTCAAGGTTCGCTTTCGATTGCTAACTTTTCAATTTGTCGAAGAAGAGAATGGTGTTAGAGTAGGTTCGATTGGTAAAAGGTCCGCCGATGCCAGCCACGACTTTTACCGAGGTCGCGACTCGACCGAAAAGAGAATCAGAGAGAGTGAGAGAGAGAAAGATGGCGTGTGCAAGGGCAGAAAAAAGGTGGAGTCTACCCTTCCTTGGAATTCGAGAACACGGATCGAATGATAACTCACTTTGCCGATCCCTTAATTACTCGCTTACTCTTACAAATAATTATTTAATCTTACAGGGAAATAAATAAGAAAATATGATTTGATTTTTCGATCAATCCTATCATTTCGATGGGAAACAATTTTCGGAATAACTAATAAATATGTTTAGCAAGGAAATTGGACATTATAAAGAACTAGAACTTTATTTTGATCAAATTGAACGTTTCGTCCCTTTATTGGGACTTCTTCAGCAACTCAATCTCTAACGTTCAGAGTCTTTTATATTTGAACAGACATACATTCTTGTAATTTTCAAAAAAAACTAAACATCTAAACTTCGTTATATCCTAATCCGTTATATATTTATACACTCGAACAAAATATAACTATTATCAGCCGTAAAACGGGCAATATTTTTCGGCTAATAAACTTTCTTATTTGGGTTATTCTTGTTTTTTATTCGGATAATAAAACCTAGATCTAAAATTGTTCTGCATTTTTTCATTCCCTATATTGCACTCTCTCTTTCATTCTCTTTTTCTCTCTTTCTATCTATTTTTCTGCTTGCGTGGAGCTTTAATCGACGCGTCAAATTTCTGGCTCGTTGATAACCCTCTCTCGTTAGATAGATGCAAGCAACTGTGCTTATAAACCGTATCGTCGTTCGCTTTTCATTTCCAAAAAAAGGAATGGGGGGAAAAAAAGCGAACGTTTTTCACATGACGCAGGATAACGTTAAAGGATTAAATTAGTCTCGGATCTAAAAAAAAATGTGACAACCGAATGAAAATTAGGTTTATCGAGATTGAGAATAAGGACGAACAAAATAAGTGGAATAAAAGGAAGAACCAAAAAAAAAAAGAAAAAAAGAAAGAAGAAGAAGGATCCTGTCAAGAGGAGGATTGATTCGTTGAACCCAATGAAGAAGGGTTCATAGAACAGAGTTCAAAGAAACAGGAAAAAAGATTTCTAATGACGAATGCGGTAAGACCGGTTTTATCGTGCAAATAAGGAAATAATAAACTACGCACCTCATAGGCTAACATTTATCCGCCTTGACGAATTTACAATGAATTGTTATCGATTATTCATTCCATCCTCCTAGCTAACTATCCGTCATCTAATCTGTCACAGATTGCAGTTACAAGTAGTATTATCTTCGCACGTCTCCTCTATGTTATATAATTACTCTACTTAATAAATATTTCATAAATTCTCGGTGTGGTGTATGATTTTTTATGAAATATGATACTGCGTTTATTTCACGCGAAAGGTAATACGTAAGAGTAATGCGAATTTATTTAATTGAAAGGAAAAGAGAAAAAAAAAAGAGAGAAAAAAACGCAGAGGATTTTCAAAGTGAACATACACACACACACACATATATAAAAACTATATAAAAGAGGCAAGAAAAAAAAGCGTTAACTGCAAAAAAAAAGAAAAAAAAAACATAATAAAACAGAATGGAATCAAAATGAAAGGAAACGCGAATGGAATTTGTAATTCGCGTTTAATAACTCGACGACTTATGAATCGAATAAACACATTGTAAATAATGGTCGACTCGAAAGAAAAATAAATTGCAACTTACGGACGGATAATCACGCGAGCGACGAAGCATTTAATCTCTCGTTACGTTTACATCGATGACGCAGCTTTATTATTTATATTTCATCAGGTACCAAATAATAACCTCATGCAATAATTGTCAAGTAACTAATGATCGAGCTGCTAGCGCTATCATTTGCTAATTAATTAACCATGACTATTATAACGACTATAAGAATCGCGTTGAAGATGTTAACAAGAAAAAAGAAGAAAAAAAAAACCAAACACACACACACACACACGTTTAAACAAGGATGTTTCGCGTGTTTATGAAAATGATCTCAAATAAGAATCTGAAGAACGTGAAAGAATCTCGATAGGACATAGATGAGTTAATCGATAAATCAAGGAAATATTGTTTTGAAAAAAATGTTAGATTAGAACAAACAAGACGAGAAAGAATAAAAATGAGCGAATAATCGTTAGGACGACGACGATGACGATGACGATGACGACGAGCTATGGCTTATTGAAATGCAGCAATTCGTTTAAATTAGTTCTGGTTCGGTGGGTCGCATAGAACGACTATGTTTCTCTCTTTCCCTCCCTCTCCCATATTCAACATGAAATTGGACCGAACGTCGATCGATTAACTTCGTCTTCTTCGATAAACATTAATCATCATGCTGATCCGTCAACGTTCGTCAGAAAAAGGCGTTAAACTTTTTTACCGAAGATTAACATGAGTAATAACACGCGTACATATACATACACCACCAACAATTCCTATTGTTATTTATCTTTTTCTCGTATGTACAAATCAACGAAGAACGAATTCAATTTGTTTCTTACATTAGAATGGGTTATTAAATATACATATATTGTACTACGAGACTACTATATGCATTAATTATACGTCAAATCGCACGTTTTAATCTTAAACAAAGAAACGGATTCAATGGAAAAACCATATAATGCACTTTTCCAACATCCCTACCTACCATTCTCGCATACTTACGTTACGTTCTTGCGTTCTTAAGAAATTACGTATGCAGTTTTACATTTGTGTGCGTAATTCTCGTTATTATACACATATACCTATAATATACAAAGAAATAAATTGGAAGGATCGTGCGTTTCGAGTTCTTCCGGCCAAGTTAATCGTGAATTTTAATTGACACCGTTTACCGAGAGAATCCAATAAAAATGAGCTAACACGTATAATTCAATACATCGTAAGGGCAGCGTATGCGTGAATGCGTTCACGCTTCTTTTCTTAAATTTGTCGATTAAATACTCGACAACGATGACGACGACGACGACGACGACGACGACGAGCGAAATTCTTCGCATCTGCGTTTAACCTTTAAGAAAAATGATGCCTATTTGACGAAAAGAAGTCGTCATTTAAGTATTTTTACTTCTTTTTTTCTATTCTTATAACATCGCGGAACTATTTCGACTCATTCTCATTCCAAATGAGTACT